TGGCAGAGGATGTGTAGTGCTCCTTGACATAGATTGCCACCCCCCCCTTTCCTACCTTCTCTATCGCGCCTGTACAGCCTATAGCCCCTAATGTTAACTGCCCAGTCATGGGACGAGTCCCACCACGTCTCTGTTAGCCCTATGACATCTGGGTTTGAACTAGCTATTCTGAGGGCGAGTTCCTCCAGTTTGTTCCCCATGCTACGAGCATTGGTGTACAGGCATTTAAGGCCTTGCAAGACTGTGTGCAGCCCCCCCCCCAATTAGGAGGACTATCAGGGCCCCCATTACTTACCCTTACACTCCTTGCCCTGATGGCGTCTCCTTGTCTTCTGGCAGCCCCCTTCCCCGGCGAGTCTAGTTTAAAGCTCGCCGTACAAGATCAGCCAACCTGGAAGAGAAGACACGCTTGCCATTAGGGGAGAGATGAAGCCCATCCCGCCCCAGCAATCCACCCTCCCGAAAGCACGGGTCGTTGTCAAGGAACCCAAGGCCTGCCTGGCGGCACCAGCTGCGTAAGCGCCGGTTGACCTTGCCAATGCAGGCCTCGTGCCTCCGTCCCTGCCCACTCACCGGAAGAAGAGAGGAAAACACCACCTGAGGCCCCGTCTCCTTCAGCCTGCCCCCCAGAGCCTCAAAGTCCCTCACTTACCTCTGTTTCCAGGAGATGCCATGTGAGGTTGGACCCGGAAGGACTGCAACATAAGCCAGCTATCCTGTCTGCTGTCGGGTTATCAAAGAACCCTAATGCAGGAGGAGTGTGCGCACATGCCACAGTCCTTCCTGGTCTGGCTGTGGAAAAGATGCACAAAGCAGTTTTAGCTGGTGGCAGCGGCAACACCTAGTTGAGACCCACTGAGGTAAGTTGAACACTTTAGTGGTTCTCAACTGAGGGTGCCACTGCATTCAGAAGTTATTGAGGGTGTGGTCTGGCTCTGAAACAGTTGAGATTTTCTGCCTTAGTACTAATGACCATGTTGCTCAGTTGCGTTTCCTATCAACCTTTGTTTTAGGGAAACTAATTTTTTGGAAGAGTGTCGAGATGTGAGTGAGTGAGTTGCAGGGGGAGTTTTAATATGAGAGAATTGGAGGTATGGAATCCTGGGCAGGAGAGCAAGAAGGTGATGGGGAGGATAGCAGTAGTTGCTGGGTAGTGAGAAGACATTAAATAATTTGGAGCTTTTGAATTAGGGAGGGATTAGAAGATGGATGATGGGCAAAAGGATCTGTACACAGTAACTCAAAGGAGAAAACAGTTCAGAAGAGAGGACCACAGATTTCCCCTTGTGAATTTTCTATGGTTTGAGGAAGTGCAGTTTGGTTGCAATGGCTCATTGACTCCTGGGACTTTAAGAGATCTTATAATATATCAGGAGTGGCCAAACCATGGCTCATGATCTGCATGTGGCTCTCAGATGATTTAAATGTGGATCCTAGAGAAAGAGTAGTAGTTCAATAAAAACATTTTTTCTCTATCACTTTACTTACTTGGTTACTTAGTCTGGAGAAGAGAAGACTGAGGTGGGGATTTAATAACAACCTTCAACTACCTGAAGGTTGGTTACAAGGGGAATGGAGCTAGACTATTCTCAGTGATGGCAGATGACAGAATAAGAAACAATGGCCTCAAGTTGCAGCAAGGGGAGTTTAGGTTAGATGTTAGGGAAAAAACTTTCTCACTAGGAGGGTAGTAAAGCACTGGAACATGCTATCCAGCGAGGCTGTAGAATCTCCATTTATGGAGGTATTTAAGACCTGGTTAGACAAAGCCTTCGGTGAGATGATCTAGTTGGGGGATGGTCCTGCTCTGAGCAGAGGGTTGGACTAGAGGAGCTCCTGAGGTCCCTTCCAACCCTCATTTTCTATGATTCTATGTATTGTTGTTTTTTTTATTTGACTTTATTCAGTTCTTGCTCATTTATTCCAAGAAGCCATTTAATGACTTGAACCTAGGGCACTTGGTGCATCTCAATTATTCTTAAGTCTCAAGTTTGCATCCTGAAACTTGTCAAGAATTTGGATTGTGGCAAGAAAAGTTAGGAAGTTTGACCACCCCTGGTATATGTGAATTGTAGGAGTGAATTTAGTCGGGCTTCTGGCCTCATTGACTAGAAAAACAGACAGAGACCAGAAGTGCTGATACTGCTTATTTCAGTTATATGTTTTGAGATAAGAAAAAGCTGCGTATCTTATTACTTTGTGCACAGAGGTCCAATTAAGTAAACTTGTTTTAGTTTCTTCAAGGTCGTATTTTTTTTCTGTTTATCTGTCTTAAGTATAAAAATGCTTGAAAACTTAGAGAGGGGGAGGATTCCTTTGAAACAGACAAGTGAGTAATTCCCCTTGCTGTATGAAATCCTCCCTGTGATCACAGTATAACCCTAAATAAAGAAGAGCTGGCTCTGTCAGTTCTGATTCAACCACAACGCAAAGTTTGATTTCTTCCACAGAATGAATATTGTGGTGGGAGAGAGTACTGATGGTTAACAGGTCTCCTTGTCCTGCAACCTCACTCATTCCCTCATACCATCCCAAATAGGGACTCTACTGTATTTTACATGGTAATAATTTTTAAGTTTATTAATCACATTTGAATTTTATAAAAATAACTATTTTATGAAAATCAGTTGGTACAGAAATAAATGGTAAAAACTGTTCCTTTTGTACTGGGCTAACAGAATGGAAATGTCTTGAGCTAGTGGCTCCATCTGGAGAACTGAATATACTGGAATTACAGGCCAATAATAAGTCATCAGGAGGTAGGAAAGCACTCCTTCCCAATGCTGCCTCTGTACCTGTAATATCCTGACTTTCCTACTAGGTTCCATGGTTACAAAACCATTAGTTGCCTTTGTCTCCCCTACTCAATATTTGTATGCATGCACCCGTAGAAGTCTAAACAGGTCAGAGATGAGGGATATGAGTAACTTAATGGCTTAAAGGAAACTGCATTTATGAAGGCAGTAACAAGTATATGAATGAGGAATTTAGCGCTTTTAGAATATAGACAGGCACCAGAAGTATATAGATAAAACAGGGGTGGGCAATTATTTTGGCTGGAGGGCCACTCAATGAGTTCTGGTGAGCTGTTGAGGGCTGCTTGCGCTCAATCTTTCAGAAGATATGATTTTAACAAATAATAGATAAAAATGAATCATATACTAAAAACCAGATGTCTGCTATAACGTATTTTAATTTTATTTCAAAAATATTTTTGTCCG